TTATCCCCACAACAACAACCCTGTGAGGTAGGTTGGGCTGAGAGTCTGTGACTGGCCCAAAGTCACCCAGTTGGCTCCATGGCTGAGTGGGGACTAGAACCCAGATCGCCTGAGTCCCAGTCCCATGCTCTTAACCACTACGCCACACTGGCTCTGACTGGTTATCCTGTCCAAGGTGGCATCCCTTCCCTTGATCTTTCTTGTTCTCAACCCTTGGCTTGTTCCTGACCATGTCCTTGTTCTGTCTTCTGGTTCCTGAACTTGGCCTGTACTATGACTGATTTGGGCTTTCCATTAAATCCAGTACTGGCACTCTTTCCTGAAGTTTTCTTGCACTGGTCCTAGTGCCTCTGTTGCTCTTGCTTTGTCTCTGTTCACATGTCCCAGCTGCAGACCCTGACAATATTATTTAAAGTTACTAGGAAAAGCTAAGCACCTCCTGTTTAAAGATCAACTAAAACTGTGAGACCAGGGTCCACTTCAGAAGCTTTGGAATGGCATTTGGTTTGATATAGATTCAGCCTCATTCAGAATAAAAAAGTGTCATAGTATAGAGGCTTTTAGGCATAACTTAAGGGCCATTGATTTTGGTGGGCCTTCTCTGAAAAGCAATCTGCTTGGATGGTGAGGAGGAGGAAGCTAAGATGCCTGTCTACTCAACAGCTCCTGCGTGTCAAAAAAGGGGTTCTAATGATGAGAAAGAGGATATTGAACAGCTGTAGCTGGTAACAGTGGTGGTGGAAAGACATACTCACAGAAATAGCTGGCCCCTGGAGAGTGTGTAAGAGCACTCAAAAGCAGCTGCTGGTTGAAGGGGAAATGAGGGATCAAAACAAATTCCTGCAAGTGGTTCTAGTCCCTCTCAATCTTATCCTAACAACAATTCTGTGAGGTAGGTTAGGCTGAAAGTCAGTGACTGGCCCAAAGCCATCCAGTGAACTTTGTGGCCAAATGGGGACTAGGACCCAGTTATTCATAGTCTCTGTGCATCACACATATGGGCTTTGTACCACACAGAACCTATTAGTGGAGAACTTCTATAGCTAAGCATTCATTGTGGGCAGGAACCCCTCCCTTTCCTGTTCCCAGAAAGTGTGGGGGAAGGCTCCCTCCCATCCCCTCAGTTCCCCTACATCACAGCCAAATTGGGAATTGTTTCTCTTTTACTTAAGTATATAGGATTCTTTTGCATTTTTCTTGTGTTTCTCCATCTCTTTGCTCCTTGACGAACCCATTTTCTTCACTCTTTTCCTAAAATCTTACTTTTTTTAACCTGCTAAAAAAATCTTACAATATTTTTTTACCTGCTTTCCCACTCACCACTCCTCAAGCTCACTCCCAAGCTGCCCATAGCAATCTCTTTTTTCCACCTTTCCCATCTTCCACAATGGTGTCCTTTGCAGCTTTTTAGGAGCTCTGCAGCCTGTGAGAGCAAATGCCCTGCATCCAACGACCACTTCTTCTGCCTCCTTTGTCTGCCTCTTTTTATGACCAAGTCTGAACCTAACTAAAAACCTTAAGGGTTGCAATGATATTGAAGTAGCTAGGGCAACACTACTATAAGCAATACTCAAATTGCCTCTAAAATTAGTAAAAGCAATGTCATCTCATTCTTTGCAAGGTGGAACCTACAACAGAATGTTACAGTATATCCTGACTTCTTAGTGGAAGCATTCCTGTTCAGGGCTTCTACCAACCCATTGGCTATATGCTGCTTCATTTTCCCAAAGACTGTAAAGAGCTCACCTAAGGCACACCCCCCGCCCCCGGCCAATATATTGTGGCAAGTGAGCATGTTCAGTCTTCACTGGACAGTTTTGGAGTCGTTGGCTTCTTTGCTTACTGTTCTTTTAGGTTCTTGCATAACTTTTGTACTGACCCTTGTCTGCATCCTCTGATTAGAGAGCATCAGCTCTTGGGCTGTGTAGAAATTAAATAAATAACCCAGTGGGTATAAGTGTCACAGAATGTTCAGAATATTCTAACTTATGAGAGAAAATGATTAGTAACAGAATTTTGGAGAATGGCTCAGTATATAGCACAGAAGTTAAAGGTTATCTTGGCCATGGAAAGAAATATGCTTAGGATGCCAAAGCAAGATAAGTAGCATGGAGAGCTTTGAATGAAGAGAAGGGAAAGACCATGAGGCAGAGTGAAGGAAGGACAGTAACTGGAGAAGATGGGGTAGAGGATGAAGAGCCCCTGGCTAAAAGAGGTGCTCAATGAAGGCTGAGGGGTTAAAGCAAAGTGAGAGGATGTGAAAAAGCTTCACCCAAGTCTGGAAGATAGAAGTACGTTATTGTCAGGAAGACAATGGACAGGTAAAAGAATTTGAGGAAGGAGGCTATGATAGGGTGGAGAGCTGAAATGAAAAGCGAATTGCATCTAGACTTTAACCTACTTAGAATAAATCCACTGAAATCAATTTACTTGTCCCATTGATTTGAATGAGTCTGCTCTAACATGACTAAGACATTGATTTGAACCTGTCAACCAGATGCCTGCATGTTAATGCTATAAGAAAATTTAGATGGTACTATGTTTCATACAAGTAATACTGGGAAGGAACGTAATAAATTCTGTGGAATTTCAGTGAGGTGTTAAAATATGCCTAAACAAATGCTGTCTTCACACACACACACACACACACACACACACTCCTCCCAGAATTGCAAAATAGATGTGAGGAGGGGAGAGGAAAAATAAAAAATGAAACCAATCATCCTACTAAGGTTGTTTCTAGATCTACTGCATAGAAGACAGAGAAAAGAGCTTTCTTGTAGCATTGATAAGCAGTGCTTCTGATATGATGTTTCTTAAATTGGTGGACTTTTCTGAGGGCAGTTCCCTAGCAGGCAATGGTATTTTTATTCACGCAGGCCTTTGGATGATTGGTTGCTTGATTGCATGGGATGGTGTGGGTAATTTGTTTTTATACTGCCACTGTTTTTTTTAAAAAATTAAGGTCATATTTGTGATTATAAGTTGCCCTGAATGCCATTTTCTTCATAGAAAGGGGGTGTACACATCAAGTCAAATAGATAAATATTTTAAAAACTTTTCTGGAGAGTCGCTAACTCTACCAGCCATGGTGTAGTGTTGGAGTGGGAATCAGGAGAAAAAGGTTCTAGTCTCTGCTCAGCCCTGAAGCTCAATGGGTGACTTTGGATCAGACAATATCTGACCCTAACCTACCTCACAGGGTTGCTGTGATGATAAAGTGGAGAAGAGGAGGATCATGTAAGTCACCATGGGTTCCTCAAAGAAAAAAGGTGGAATAGAAATATAATTTTGGCTGCTCCAGCACACTGATATAAATAATAAATTAAATTGTGACTTAAATCGATAAATTGTGTAGAAATAATACATAGATGTAAGAGATACAAGTGGCAAAGTAATAGAATCTTCTCCAGGGAATTGGTCATTTGTTCGTTTTATGCATATAGGATATAGCCTGGATATGGCTAGATAGAATGAATCCAGATGGAAACAAATCTATGGAATTTTTGCAGGTACATTCGTGTCTATAAAATGTCTTTGTTCGTGAACACCCTTAGTTGAGCTTTTTAAATTAAGAAAGGAACATAAATGCAGGGCTTGCATGTCAGCAGAAAAAGTGCAGCGTGTGCGCGTGCCTGACTTGGCCTGATTACCCAGAGCGACAAGGTTGCAGCAGGCAACCGCCGCCGCCGCCGCCGCCGCCTCGAGTGTCTGCGGAAAACAGGCTGGCGCTTCCCCCGCGGTGTGCCGTGATAGCCTCCTGCCCTTTCCGCTGGGCGTGCCCCGAGGTTAGCCGCTGCCCGAAGCGCGCTCGCCCGCCCGTCCGCCCGTGCGCCATCCAGTAGAGACGAGAGAAGCCGCTGCTCAGCTTCGTCTCGCCGCTTTGCAGGCAGGCTTCTGCCATCGCCGCCGCCGCCGCCTCTTCTCCCCTCTATCTCTCTGCCTCCCCAGCAAGCTCTGGAAAAGGGAGAGCTTGGCGGCCAATGACATGTGGAGAGCTACCGAAAAGGGCGTTGCAGGGAATATGTATACACAGACATAGCCAGGAGGTGACAACCCAAACTCCTCCTTTTCTCGCAATGCTCAGGAGTGTGTTGTGGTGAACATGGCAGATGACGATTAAAACCCGGCTGGCGGCGGCGGCTGCTCGCAAGCGCCGCGCCACTTGTTGGCTGCCCTCCGGGTCCTTTTGTGGACTGCGTTGCGAGGGCGATGAGCAAAGGGTAGGGCCGTTCCAGAGGGCGCTGAGCCTTTGAAGCAAGCGATCGGGTTTCTCTTTTCTCCTTCCAACATTAAAGCATTATTTAGCGTGTGCGCGTGTGTAAGACGGGGGCAGCATCACGTAGGAGCTTAAGTCGGGCACCGTGTATGCGAAAGAGAGAGATGATACGACTATGGAGACTCAGCGGCCGGGAGCCGAGGAGGATACCGGCTTGCTGAGGAGGCGGGGGACGCGGCAGCAGAGGCCCGGCGTCGGGAGCACAGCCAGTTGCTGCCGCAGGGATCGGGTGCCGCGGGCTATGTGCAGCCGCCGCAGTTCCCAGCTGGGACTCGGCGCCCTTTGCCTTGTGACTCCGCATTGCTCCTGTGACTGCGGCTCGGCGTGAAAGGGAGGAGGGCCAGCAGGAGGAGGAAGAGAAGGGGCATCGAGAGAGGGGAAGGGCAGGTCGGCGCACGGCGGATTGGAGGAGGAGAAAAGGTGAGGAGGAGGGAGGGGCAAGGACGACAGCCAGCGGCGGCGGCGGCGGCAGCAGCGGCCATGCTGCCCGGGGTGGGTGTGTTCGGCACCAGCCTGACCGCTCGGGTCATCATCCCGCTGCTCAAGGATGAAGGGTTCGCGGTCAAGGCGCTGTGGGGCCGCACTCAGGAGGAGGCGGAGGAGCTGGCCAAGGAGATGAGCGTCCCCTTCTACACCAGCCGAATCGACGAAGTCTTGCTGCACCAGGACGTGGATTTGGTCTGCATCAACCTGCCGCCGCCTCTGACCAGGCAGATCGCTGTGAAAACTCTGGGTGAGTCCAGTGTGGCCGGCCTCTGGGACAGAACTGCTCCTGCCTCGAAGCAGTGGGGGAGGTGTGTGGTGCGGGGAGGGGAGAGGAGGAGATCTCTTCGAAAGGAAAGTGCCCAGGCTTCTTGTCTGACTAGAAGCCTTATGCCCTGGATCTGTATATCCTTACGGGTGGAACCCGGTTATTAGTGGGGGAAAAGAAAGGCGCGCGAGTTTGTTTATTATTGCTGCTTATACTCCATGACATAGCTCTGCTTCCTGTGAAAGCCAGCCTCTAAGACGGAGTCATGCCCCAAATAAAAGCCCTGAGATTATTTGGAGATGACAGGGTATGGAAGATCATCTCAAAAGTGCCCCATGTTCACCTTTGTAATTAGCCTAGGCTTAATTTCTAAAGCATGAGGCATTTAGGACGTCAAATGTCATCCTTGCTCTTAAAGTTCTTGTTCCTTAACCTTGCAATGTAGCTTCTGAATGGGGTCAGTCAAGCCATGATGGAGGAAGGCTTTCTGCACATACTCGGCACTGTTGGCCCTGAAAACTGGCCAAATCTAAGTCCTGGAAAACTTTAAGTTGAAGTAATTAAGAGAACCTTTGATGAGGTTTTCATTGGTGGTCCAGGGAGAACTAGCCTCCCGTGGCCTTTCCAAACGTGTGCCAGGTTTTCTCCCTGGAAAAGGTTGACTTCCTTATTGCCAGGTGCTTCTTTGAAGCCCTATTATTTCATGCTTCCTCTTGCTTAGTTATCTTATTTGTATGCCACCATCAAGAAGCTCAGGCCAGCGTATGTCAGAGCAGGCGTGTATGAGAGTTTAATACAGGTCAGGGCAACTTCTGGCCATCTAGATGCTTTGACCTGCAAGTCTCATGCTCTCTCATTGATTATGTTGGCTACCAGTAATGGAAGAAGTAGGCCAAAACAGTTGTCTACGCTGTTTTTGGCTGGCAGAAGAAGAATAACCAGATTGTATTAGAATGTATTGCCTTTCCTCTTTGTTATGTTCCATCATGTATATTTTGTGGGATAAAGCTGAATGCTGGGAGAATTTTGAGATGTCATTGGTCTTACCCAGTTTTAAATAAATGTAATTTCTAACTTTGACTCATTATAAAAATGTCAGTTTATATGTTTTAATATGGGGGGTATTTTTGTTTGTATTGACTATTACATGTTTTATATTCTTCCCAAACACCCTTTGAGAAGTGTGTTCTAACAGCAATGCAACGTATCTGAGTGTGAGTCATTAATTTAGTTGAATACCTGAAATAGGCTTTTATATCTGAATATATTCATACAGTTTTATTTTTGCTGATTTAAGAGGCAGGTAGATGCAGTTAAAAATCTGGACAGTGTGATGATAACCCTTCTTTTGTTATTAGTATTTATAGTAAGTAATAATTCGTTTTTCCTGGTCTAAACAGCTGTCAGTAGAAAGCCTATTGTGTAGCATGAAGAGAGCCAATTTTGCATTAATATTAAGGCTAGGGAAGCTATTGCTATGTTTGGAAGGGCTATAGCTCAGTGGAAAGAGGGCATGCCTAGCATACAAAAGTTCCTATTTCAGTTTTTAGCTAAAACCTTGTAACTAAGAGCTGCTGCCTGGCCATGGAGACAGTAAGTTAACTAGATAGATCCATGGTCTGACTCTGTATCAAGTAGCTTTTGATATTTGTGCATTTGTATGCATTGGTTTTGAGGCCATTTTGCTGCAGCAAAGAAGGTTTTAGCCTTCCTGGTGTTGCTTCCCCACCACGTGTATACGTTTGATTTATAACCCACTTTTTGTCTTGAGTTCAGATACATGGTTCTTTGCTTCCTTGGTTATCATTGCAACAACCCTGCAAGTTTGGTTAGGTTGAGACAGGAATTGGTCCAACGTCATGCCATGTACAGTACTTTATCGGTGAGTGGTAAATTGAACCTTGTTGGATCACTGCTCTAACTCAGCCTTCCCTAACCAGGTGCCCTGAAGATGTCTCATGCCACAGTGCCCATCATTCCTGGCCAGCTTAGCCATCAGGGCTGGGGTTAATGGGAGTTGTAGTCTGACACATCTTCAGAGAACCAGGTTGGAAAAGACAGCTCTAACCACTGAACTGGCATTGTAAAGCATTTGCCTGTTCTCCTGGAATGACGTAATGGGGAGCCTTCAGTCTACTAGCAACTCAGAAGATGCATTCCAAATTTTAGCTAAGGAGTGTTCTCCAAATGGTATAGGAATGTAAAGCAAGGATGCAGGACCATGAACACCCATCAGCCCGTATGTACCAGTGATGCTTGTGCAGCCGTATTGCACATGGCATTCCATTTCAGATAAGAGTTAGATCTGGGTTGAGGAATCTCAGCCTCAGGGTCAAATATAGACTTCTTGGGGTCCCAGCCTGGCTCAACTGGTTTCCTCAGAAAGCCATACCCTTCTTCCTGGCCTCACCCCCTACTTCTAACCACTGCTTTTTGTTAATTTCCTGATTTTTGTGCACTTCCTCCCATTCTAAAGTGTTGTGATGTGTCTCCTAAGGCGTAGTTTCTGGCAATATGATCATTCCACTAAAATAATCTACATATTTGTTCTATTTTGGCTTTGTTTTGGCCCTTGAATTTGGCCTTCAGGGTTATAGCAATGATAGGTGCAAACTAGAATTTACTAAGCAACAGACAACTCGGCACAATTTGATCCTTTAAAAACTCTGTATAGGAAAACTCTTATGAAACAATTCAGATGCCATAGGAATAATTTTTACACACATATTTGCTGAGCAACAAAATTTGTATGTCATTTATATGTGTTAAACCATATATATAAATAAGTAAAATGCATGCCCCCTTTTGCACTACATTATAGAATCTATGTGACTTACGATAATTAAAAAGTGAAAAAGAAATAAAATACAGTAAAATAGTAGACAGCACGCAATAAAACCATAGAAGCAGTAAAAGTAAAAGCCTTTAGCAGGCCCAGACTAAAAATGTGAGACCATGAAAGAGACAGATGCACTTCTAAATATGAATTGTTAATTATCTGAGCATCACTACTGAAAAGGTCCTTTTCCTCTTCTGTACCGGCCAAGCTTTAGCCGGTGGAGGAAGAGCAAAAAAGACCTCAGAAGTTGAGCACAGTTCTCAAATTACTAGTTAAAGGTGCTGATTCCTTGGATAACTTGGCCCCAGACTCTTTAAAGGCCAAAGCCCACATCTTAAAGTATCTGGAAATCAACTGGTACCCAGTGAAGCCAATATAAAACAGGCATAATGCAATCCACCAAAAATGGCCCAAGTAACCATGTGACATTCTGAACCATAGAACTTTCTGGGCGGTCTTCAAGGGCAGTCCCATGTACCATGCATTACAAGTGATCCAAAGATAGCAATTGAAGTGTGAGGAGAAATGCAGATTTCCACCCAATGCATTCATTAGCTACAGGAGGAAGGACATTTAAACCTGTGCCTTGGGTGATGGTTGTTCATTCTGACTGCTGCTATGTTCTTTCCAGAGCTGGTTTTAAAGCAGAAGGAGTATACTAGGATATTCTCTTTGATCAGGCATATAATTACAACGGATGTAGGACTAATCAAAGAGATTGTTATTCAACCTTACCCAGATTCACTGCCTCACAGAAAGCCCTGTGAAAATCACTGTCACTTGTGCAGGCAACAGAAAAGGGCTGTTCACCAGTGCCACTGGACCCTGTGCCACTTGTAAATAGAATCACATGATACTACCTTATACTTTGTGAGAGAGGTTGGTTTTTCTTGCTTGGGGTGGGGAACTTTGAGACATCTGCGGGCCAGTTTTGTTCCACTGGATTTCCCTTGTTAGCTATACTGTTGTTGCCACCCTGTGTGATTTGGTGGCGCCTTAAAAAAAAAAAAAAAGGTGATTTGCTCCAGAGTTTCTTGCAGTGTGCTGCTACAGAATGGTGAAAAGGTCAACATTTGCTTGTTCTCAGGAGATGCAGGACTTTTCCCCCTGCAGTCTGGAGTTGTCTGCTGTCAAAATATGGCAGCAAAGCACAATTTTTAAAAACAGGTTTTTCTGTGTGAAGTTCAGTAGTGCAGTAGGAGGGGAGGGGAATGGAAGGAAGTGCCCCAGGGTGGGGGCCCAGGCAGTGCCATGTTGTCAAGAGTAGCTGACAGCCTCCAAGATTGTAGAACTTTCCCAGCTCTTCCTGGAGATGCCAGCAATCTTGTATGCAAAGCACGTGCCCCTCCACTGAGTTCTAGTTCATGCACTAAATTGCTCATCCAGCCATTAGAGAGAAAATAGATTTTAATATTTTACTAGCTCCTCTTACGCTTTCCCTTTTAAGGATTTCCATTCCCTTTCAAGGACTGACTCAAAATAAGAAAAATGTAATTTGGCCCACAATAACCTTGCCATTTAATGAACACATTTGCCCCCTTCAATCTTGTGTTACAACGGTCAGGATAGTCAGCCTTTCCCAACATGTTGCCCTTCAGATATTTTGGGACAACTCCCAGCATTCCTGACCACCGGGTGTACTGACAGAGGTTGATAGGAGTTTAAGAGCAAAATATCTGGAGGTCACCAGGTTGGGAACAGTTGGTGTATTGTCTTAATTAGTTTGGATGTGTGTGAGTAAAAAAAATACAGTTTGTTTATACTGTTATTGTAACCTTACATGTTTTTCAGTTGTTTTGTTCTGCCTTTTTCAAATTGCCAAACATTCAGTGTGACATGTTGCAACTGCTGTTGCAGGTTTCAGTAAAAAACGAAAGTTATTAACAGGAGGGTACACCCCAACTTGCTGATTTCTGGCTCTGCTCCAATCTTTTTCATCACACCCTGATACCAGGAAATTAAGCAGAGGAAGTTCTTTCCACTGTTTTATCTCACTTTTAGGAAAAGTTTCCACTGATTAATTTCATTCTGTCACGTTGCTGTTAAAGACATAGAAACAGGACCAGAATTAAGTGGTAATGCCATTTATTCACCTTGTCTCTGTTTTTTCCCAGGCTGCCACTATCCATAGAAAAACATCAAT